TTAAAACACTCCCCTAATACATTATAATCCCTCCCCTCTATCCTGGAGATAATTGGGAAGTAATCCAATTATCTCCAAGGACAGAGGCAAAACTCCATTACCCACATGGTTACAGTAAAACACTAAAATACAATAAAATGCACAATATTACATTTGTCACACAAAATATATACATTTAACCCATCCCCAGTTAGCTCGGATCTGAGCGCACAAAAGTACCGAATAGCGCTCAGATCCTATGCACACAGTCCAATCGCCGTGGAGTTAAAGTGTTCACAAAGTCTGTTCTCCATACGAATAGACACCACGGGATGGCTATCTAGGGTAATGCTGTTCATACGGTTTAAACTACCGAATGAACAGGCATTCGGTTAACTGACCGAATGCAGAAGCAAGGAGGCTGACGATTCAGCGGTGTTCGCGCAAATAAGTGTCCGTTTACAGTTCCATAGTTTGGGCTTTGAACACCGCTGGCCATTCGGGACTTTAAAATGGCCGCAGCCACGGGTTCGACAACCGAACAAAGGCCACCCAGCATTCGTCAATTAAGCTGCGGTTAACCGCAGCTTCTGTGAGGTAAACTGCCGACACAGGGGAAAGAAGGCTTTTAAAAAGGGGCCATAGTCCAGAAGCAACAGGCGAGCATTCACGCTTCTCCAGTGCAATGTGGTTAGATTGGTCTCGTCACACGGGGGATCTGGGTGAACCACATATCCAAAATTCACCCAGATCCGTTCAGTACTTTGGAAGATACGGTTTAATGCGGATTCCGCAGAACATATACAGGCTATATGAAAAATAATTACTGTTAAATGTGTCCCCTGTTCTGTAGTTTAAAACTACTGAATGAAGTCTTTGTGCACCAAATACCGGTGAGATGGCAAGTGTAGAAAAGTCAAAACAGTGTCTGTGAGTTAAAATGGCCGCCATCCATTGTTCTCACCATGTGCCTCTGATACATGAAATGGTGGCCACCCAGTAACTCCACAGTTTGTCTGGTAGTCTATCCAGCCGAACCAACAGATGAAACACATGGGGAATAGTGCAACAAACGAAGGGAATCATAAAAAATATGGACAATAGTCATATTTGTGCACAATCTCCAGTTTTGTCACAGGGCACAAATAGTGTTTTCAAATACCATATATTCCAGGGCCATAGTCAGAAGGTAGGAGGCGGGCAAGCAGCCCGAGGTTTGTTCCGCCACAGGTACCTTCTAAAACTGCCTAGTAAAAAAATTCTTATTCTAAGAAAGAAAATTACATAATGAGAGTGATGGATAGGGGCACAGCTCCAATTAATTACGAGGAGCAGTATGGGCAATAGGTAGCCATTTGCACATCAATTTCAGGCAGGATGGGCTGGTGGAAGATCTGCTAAGGAGGACAGGGCTATGATCATGAGGTCTGTACCTCCAGCATATGCAGACACAGCAATCACTCTGGCACTCTCTAGACCACATGGGAGCGATCCCATGACCACATGGGAGAGGTCAGCACAGGTCAGAGGTGCAGACTTCATGCCCCTTCACTATACCATCAGGGATCCAGGATCCATGCAAGACTGCCACAGTACGACCCCCACTGGACCAACAGGGAAAAGCACCAGGAAAGAAAAACAGAAGGAAAGAGTGGAAAAGCAGAGTACCACACAAAGTCACATTGCATACAGTCAGCGCACATTACACCCAGTCGACACAAACAACATACACATTTATTACATCCAGTCACCACAAACACAAAAGCAAAACAGAAGGAAGGGGTGGCAATTAAAAAGCACCACACAAAGACACATTACATATAGCCATCACACACACACACACAAAACCAGCCGAGACACACTATATACATGCTTATTACACCTAGCCGCTACAAATACACTATGGGAAGGACAGCGGAAAAGACACTAAAGTCCACATTTGTTCTATTCAAAACCAAATAGAAAAGCGGAGGTAAACATAACAAGTATTGATTATAGATGATTTAAAGAATTTTTCCAGATGTGATATTTTTGCCTACATTTTTCCATTTGGATTTCATTTGGGAAAATTTAGAGCCCTGCCAGTCTTCATGTCTAAGCAGGGTCCTCAAACTTTTTAATTTGAAATTATTTGGGGACAAATCAAGACAAGTAGATTGAGCTACCACTTTAGTCACAGGTATAACCACATTTTTTACCCCCTGTCCTTGTTCAATAGTCGACATAACAAAAGGCATCAGATTAATCCATTCCTCATTTGTTTAATGTGAACAATTAGGGTTCAGGTATCTCAAACATTAAACATATATTACATGAGGTCAGGAGAATATCTGAAGCAATGTATATTTTGTCCCAGATATAAACGTGTCTTCTGAAGAGAAAGATTTTTGATAACAAAAGGGAGGAGGGGTTTCTTACCCAGATAGCAGAGGGTCTGGTAGTTCTCATTAGATGCCTGCACAGCTTCTTGTATTCTTGATTTAACTCCTTAAGGGACAAACTTCTGGAATAAAAGGGAATCATGACATGTCAGTCCGGCTTGCAGAAGTAAACGGCCACTTTCTCAAACTCAAATTGTTCCTAAATATATTATTCACACATTATTTCGACTGTTACAAACCATCAATCTAAAAACAGCAACTGCGGTTTAATTATTTATCTGGAAATTAACTCTACCATTTACAACATATGTTCTCTCAGTGTTTTCCATTATAACCGGCGATTTACGACCCTTCAATATTGGTGACTATGGCTCTTTTAAGGTATGATTAGATGTCACCGACAGATATTTGTTTCCTGGTCATTCTTAGCTTATCGCATGTATAGCTTTTTATTCCTGACTCTATAGTGTTAAAACCCTGTTACCACTGGCCCCCCTTATCCCATTAAACTGAGAATTGGATACTTTTATACCATCTTTGATTAACTTTAAACTATTAGATGAGCACTGTCTCCATCGCTACAATTTTGTTATTTTACATATTGTAACTTTCCAGTTTGACTGACATATACAGTCCACAGTTTTAGAGTGGATAGTCTCTGGATTTTTTCTTTATTTCTAATAAAACATTAATCTATTTATATTTTCTTGATTTTGTACATTTCATTTTATTATTATTTTTCTTACTATTATTGTAGGATTCATCCTATTATAGATATACATCTACATAATTCTCTTTTTTCAGTTAGGGATTTTGTGATCTATTTATTAAAAGTGATGTTTTATTAGGGTTACTCCTTGTCCATGAGTGTTGATCCCCTACATGGTTTCTTTATTCTTTTCTTTAAGCCAATTCAATCCTAGGGGTTACCCCTCTCACTAATTGAGTAACCTGACACTCTCTCCCTAGAAGGTTTCCCCCTTTTGTTGTTTTTTCTTATAATAAGTGTGGGTGCACGTAATATGAAAGAGGTGAATTACGGTTGAACAGATATAAAGAGTAAATTATAGTTTTTGTTAACATTTTGTTTTGATCAGAACGTGCACTATTGACTCCGTCCTGAAGGGGTTAATAATCTTACAAAGAGAATTGGTGTGAAGAATGACTGCAGGATGTGTGCACTATGGATGAATGAGGAGGTCTGACTGTCCTTTTACACGTTTATATAGCTGTATCTTTCTCCCAAAATTGCTCTCACATGCTCCCTGCTATATGATGTAATGTATGGTATGTAGCTGCAGTCAGCAGACACTATCTATTGCTAGCTTCAAAAGTACAAAGTCAGGGTTTCTTGTTAACCCTTTGATTGACAGGCAACACATGCTTTGTCCTAACTTAAACATGTAACCCTTCCATTGATGAGTTAACCATGAAAAATGCCATGTGTCTGCAGTATATGCAACAATGATAGGTTATACATTAAATAATAATGATCCACACTCCACACAACCCACAGAATATCTGTATCACCCTCTACCATATCATTTAGTTATACTTCCCAATTTAAACTAATTGTCTGACTAGTGGCAGCATTCCATTAATGACTCAGAATCCTCCCTGCTGCCCATCTCTTTCTCTCCCTCCATGCTGCCCCCCTCCCCATCTCTCCCTCCATGCTGCCCCCCTCTCCCTCCATGCTGCCCCCTCCCCCATCTCTCCCTCCATGCTGCCCCCTCCCCATCTCCCCTCCATCCATGCCGCCCCCTCCCATCATCTCCCTCCATGCTGCCCCTCCCCATCTCTCCCTCCATGCTGCTCTCTCCCCCTATGCTGTTCCTCTCTCTGCCTCCATGTTCCCCCTCTCCTTCTCTCTCTCCCTCCATGCTGCCCCCCTTTACTCCTGCCTCAGCCCCTCCTCCCCCCAGTTGTAGTGTATATAACTTGCCTGCCTGGAGACACAGACTCCGTTCAGTGAGCACTCACACTCCGTTCACTGAGAATACACTGTGCTCTGTCTCTGCACAGGGGGGAGGGGGGATGACGTCACCGCTGTGTGTGAGTAGGAAGTGAAGCTGGGCTCACAGTCAGCAAGCATGGAGACTGACAGTGTGCTCACAGAGGGGATCTGAGTCCTCAGAGTAGCTGGATGAAGCTGGCAGACCCTGTGTGTATTCCTACTAATGGAACTGGCTAAAACAACTGAATGATTGACATTTTATTTTACACCATTAGATTGTGTCTATGGATCCTGTATGGGCTGCTGGGGGGGCTAAGCCAAGAGCAACTCAAACTAACTTAGAAATACATTAAGAAGTTTAATAATGCACGCTGCCCAAATTCACACACTGATTATCTCCGACACACACTGTATTTCCCTTTAACAAACACGATTATTATTATTATATTATTTATATAGCGCCGGCAAACTCCTTAACGCTGTTAACATATTGTCTAATGCATAAATCCATACAAACATTATTATTTTATTATTTATATAGCGCCAACAAATTCCAGAGCACTGTACAGTGGGTGGACTAACAGACACATAATTGAGATTAGACCACTGACGTACAGGAACAGAGGGGGTTGAGGACCCTGCTCGACGAGCTTACATGCTAGAGGGAGTGGGGTATAGTGACACAAAGGGTTAAAGTAGGGGAATTAAATAGTTTGTTACAGAAGGGTTTATTGAGTGCTTGGTAGGTCATTTTTGACAGTTGAAGGAATGGAGTCATAGGGTGGGGGATGAGAAACCTGCTGACAGTTTAATTGATACGCTTTAATAAAGAAGTGAGTTTTCAAAGATTTTTTGAAGCAGTGGAGGCTGGGTGAGAGTCTGATTGAGGAGGGAAGGGAGTTCCACAGAATAGGTGCAGCCCTGGAGAAGTCTTGAAGGCGAGCATCAGAGGATAGGCGTAGGTCTTGGGCTGAGCGCAGGGGTCTCGATGGGACATACTTGTGTATGAGGGAGGATAGGTATGTTGGAGCAGCATTATGTAGGGATTTGTAAGCAAGCGCCAGAATTTTGAATTGGGCCCTATATCTAACTGGAAGCCAATGTAGGGACTGACAGAGCGTGGAGGCTTGAGAGGTGCGACCGGACAGGAAAATAAGCCTCGCAGCCGCATTCATTATAGATTGCAGCGGTGCAAGCTGGGAA